ATCATGAACCTCCCCTCCCCTTCGTAAATCCTAAAAGCCGTCCATGGTATAGGTATGGATATTTTCTGGAATCGCCCAATGCACACCCAATTCACTATTAATATATAACCATGAAAGTACTTCTGTTGCAAATCATTACTTGTACTTATACCCGTGAATTCTTTGTGATTAGTACAGTACACTTTACAGTACACTTTACAGTACACTTTATTGACACTTTACTCATCGATTACTCAAGCACTTTCAACAACGTCTTGATTTGAGAATAAAAAACAATATTTCCATTCAGTTTCATCATTTGCGATGATAGTATTGGGTCTTACGAAGCAAGTTTCCACTTAAAAGCTGTTGTTCATATTTACGCAAAGTCAACACACTGCAATGAAATAATTTAAGTAACTGCCAAACTCAAGTTTTGGCGAACATCTTTGATGTTCGTTTTTCATCACTTTCATTTAAGTTTTTCGCTTGTAAGTTAAAGTTGGCTCCCTTGAAGCGGCGTGTAAAACAAGAGCCCACAAAACCAGATGCTCTCGCGGGGTAAACTTCTCCGCGTCGCGAGAAATAAATCGTTTTCTTGCAAGCTAACTGCTATTCCAAAATATACGCTTCAATGGTTCTCGCGAGACAAGTCTCGTCTCTCGAGACGAGGGTCTCATCTTGCGAGGCGCTCGTCTCACGAGAAACGAGACGAGAGGTGGTAACTTACTTTTGAGCGGTACTGTATGTGTAACTACATGATGAGCAATGTATAATTTAATTTGAGTTACAGCCTATTATTCCAATTGAACTGAATTTTAGTGCCAGAAGATCACTGATCAGGGCTTGAAACTAATGTTTTAATACAATGGTCCATTGGCCAGTGAATTGTCAGATTTTACAACCCAAAACAAAGGACAACTTCCAGGATGCCACACTTTTCTGATTTTTTTCACTGCATCAAATGATAGGCCTCATCGCTCAGATGCCGCCAAGCTCAGTTATGTTGTTTTCTTTGTGTTCAGAAGTGACAGGTGCTTTATACACTGCTTAAAATTTCTTCCTCCGTTATGGCAGGAAACCACATGAAGAAGCCAAATATTTTGTTTCCAACTTCCGCAAGCTTA